CTTTATGAGGGCCTGAAAATGGCCCTCGTTTTCAGGCTTTTAGGCTGAAACGACACAGGGCCTGTAGGCCCTCGTTTTCAGGCTTTTAGGCTGAAACGACACAGGGCCTGTAGGCCCTTGTTTTCAGGCTTTCAGGCCGAAAACGACACAGGGCCTGTAGGCCCTTGTTTTCAGGCTTTCAGGCTGAAAACAACACAGGGCCTGTAGGGCCCTTACTTTTCCTTGTTTGGTCGGGCCTTGCAGGCCCGTGTGGATACCCAGTATGCCGCACAGAGCCAGGGCTCACTTTCCATAAAGGAACGTGAGGGAGTGGCCAGACAGCAGCGCATTCTGGCTAAGCAATGCTGGGCGGCCACGCTTCTGCACTGTACGCAGACAGGCTGCCTGGGCGCTGGCAAGCCAGGGCGCACCCGGGTGCTAGGAGGTGTGAGGGGGCTGCGGTGGCAGCAGGTGCACCGGGCTGCTGGAGCGCATGTCAGTCGGGGGATGGTGGTCTTCGGGAGAGGAGGGGCATGCTGTGGGGAGACAGGGGGTGATGAGGGGAGAAGAGACGCGCACCTGGTGTATGCTGGCGGTCTGCATTGGCGATGTCGTCACGTACATTGGTCCTCAGCTCGAAGTGACTCCTGCTGCATATACGTAGTGTAGGCTAGTATAGTAGGCTGAATAGGATAGGCTGGGCGCTGAGCGCCAATCAAGATGAATTGAGCGACATTGGATACTATGTTGGTGTGGCGAGAGAGCATCGACATTGACATTTGACTTCATTGTATTGCTCCTATTTGGCTGGTATCTCAGTGGCATTGTGCTTTTCTGCTTGGTACACTACTATCTGCCAGTAGTATCTGGTCTACAGCGTGATATTGCAGCAATTTGGTTTTCTGTTGTCTATTGCTCTCGCTCATATTCCTTGCAACGTCAGATGACCACAATAAAATCATTCTGAATTACCCGAGGCCAGTTCCACCTTATTGAAAAATAATAATAATAATAATAATAATAATAATAATAATAATAATAATAATAATAATCGGTGATGTTCAACATTCTACACCCACTGCAGATGTAGAGAGTGCGAGGCTTAGGGCCTCGATATGCCCTTCAGGGCCCACTTTTCACACAGTCGGCCGCCCTAAGTGAAGGTAGGCACGACCGAGGCCTACAGGCCATTTCAGGGTCACCACGCAACTGGGGAAATTCAGGCAGTTGCGCAGCGCCAGTTGGTTGGAAGCACCCCGGGCCCAGGCTGCCTTCATTGCATGTAAATAAGGCAGGCCCTGGGCCGGATACACAAAGTGGACCAAACAAAGGCTGAGGGCAGTTGGGTGCTGATAACCGCCTCAGGCCCTGGGCCTGTTTCCTTCGAACTGAGGCTCAGCCTCCCTGAGCCTACCGGAAGCTTCTGGGCCGGGGCCCACTACCGCAGCACAGCACGCAGCAGCAGGCCACTTCGATATAGGGAAGGGTCTGCCCACGCATTGGACATTCGGGCACTGGCTGCTTTGTGTGCAAGCGCTGCTGCGCTATCACCTGCCAGGCTCACGCGCTCACGGGCGAGCTGGAAGGAGCAGGCAGCCATAGCCAAGCTGCGCTGCTGTATGCTGGATGGGGCGCATGGTGGTCCTTGGGTGCAAGTGGCATCTGTGAGTTGGGGAATGAGGTTGTGAGTGATACGAGAGACATACCTGGTGCTTGAAGCATGCGGCATTGGCCGAGATCTGCTCGTACTTCGGGGAGCTGTTGACGTCATCAGCGGCATTGTAGTCTAGGCTAGATAGGATCTGCCATTCATAGTCTGGGCGTCGGGCGCCAGATAGGATATCAACATTGGTTCTTCGTTGTTGATGATGATGATGAGACTATTCCAGCATTGTCAATTATGAGCTGTTGGTGTGTTCTTATTTGGTGAAACTCGTGATGCAATTCTGCTTTTGGTTCGAGGTCACGGCTATCTGGTCTCATGTGTATGATGCTGTTTGATTGCTGAAGTTAACTATTGCTCATCTTCCTTGCAAGAGTGACGACCTGCTCTTAGGAAAGAACAACTGCAGATGTTCCGCAGAATGGCAAATCAAACAATTTTTGGCTGAGGGGCACCCAGAAATTCGTTATGAAATTTGAAAAAAAAAATAATAATAATAATAATAAATTATATATATATCGTCACAAACAGAATATACAGGGTTACCTGACCGAACGTTCGGGGGCCCCCGGGCTGGCCCCCGAACGTTCGGGCGTTCGGGGTCCCGTTCGAGGGCCGAACACCTCAAGGTTCGGCCCCCGCCAAAACAAATTTCGGGGCCTGAAAATAAGTTTTTGTTTCTGATTTTTTTTTTGTGAGTTCTCTATGATGTAACCTCCACGCTTATACATTTTGAAGCCATTCTGATAAGCCAAAAAAACATTAAAAATCGTCAAAGATGGGGGTGTCAAAACGTGCTCGCCCACTCACTATTTTGTTTTTTTTCACTTTTAACTTAAAGTTTTTGTTTTCACTTTATTTCGGGGCCTAAAAAGAATTATTATTTTTTGAAAATTTTTTAATGAGTTATTGATTATGTAAACTACATATCTGTAAATTTTCAGGGCATTTGTCAATGCCAAAAAATAATTAAGAATCGGCAAAGATGGCGGTGTCGAAAAGGTGCTGGCACACTCACTCATTTTAGTTCTCTTTTTATTTTTTCTTATTTTTATCATAGTGTTTATTTTCTGTATTTGATTTTCATTCAAATTTGGTAAAGAATTTGGATGTAGTCCCCAGGCAAATGTTGTTTAGTTTATTTTTCTCCATAACATTGTTTTTTTTTCGCAATTTTTTTTAAAACGTTGTTTTTTTTTTGTTTTGTTTTTTTTTTGGTCCGCGTTCGGCCCGAACGGCCGAACGCCTTCCGAAGGGGTCCCGTACGTTCGGGCGTTCGGGTTCGGGCGTTCGGCCCGTCCCGAACACCGGTAACCCTGTATATATATATTGTCACATAACTACAAACTAAAAGAGCGCACTTTGCGAAACAAAGAATAAAAACAAAAAACGGGCACATTGCAAAAATAAAAACAAAAACAAAAAAGAAAATATCATGGCCCTTTAAGCCCGTTTCAGCCCCCCCTTCGCACCCCGCTTACACTCCATAGACACCCTTCAGTGAGACATCACCAAATTCAAGGCCAGATTTGGGCGCATCTCAGGGGGCGCAAAAATGCCCCACTGACCCGAAAAGAAAAAAAAACAAAAGGAAAAAAAAAAAAAAAAAAGACTCCCCTTTTGGTGTTCCTCAGGTACCTGCACGCTGCATCCCCCCGGGCAGGTTTGCTCGGGTCGCCCAGCCGGGTGACCGATGGACGAACCTTGGTCATAATAATATATAGCTAGACAGAACTGTCCGATGGACGAACCTTGGACAGAAAGCGGGAAAAATACAAGAAACAGGTAGCGGTGACAGACTGTTTCGTAGGAGTGTAAACCACTCACTCATCAGGAGGCTAAACCCTCTGAAGTTTTACTTTTTTTCTTACACATATTTTATTATTTTTTAATCATTTTTTATGCATATAGATATTATAGAATGACAAGATATAGGTGCAACATGCCAGAACAGAGATATGAAGGGTCAATGAAATAACATGGAATGGATTAAAAAAAAAAGAAAAGAAAAAGAAAAATGGAATGGCTTTAAGGTGCTAACCACGATTAACTTGGGTTTGTGTCTCAGCGCACATCTGAAAGAGCCACCACTGCATCGCTAAGGGCATAATCACATGTATTTGCCCACAGTTCCGGCCACATTCAGTGCAGAAAGCCTTGTACGAGTACGGCGGCTATGGCCTCAGCGATTAGAATGCGCAGACATCTGTAATAACAATGACACTAGGATTTTTCAGGATGTATGTATGCGTTTACCCACAATCGTGGACACATTCAGTGCAGAAAATCCTAGTGCGAATGTGGCGTGTATTAGGCCCTGTAAGCCATTCAAACTCTTTTATTGCCTGGCACCATCGTGACCACACAGCTGTTTTTTTTCCCACAAGCGTAAAGTTTGTAAACGCAACTGCTTTTTTTTTTTTTTTTTTTTTTTTTTTTTTTTTTTTTTTTTTTTTTTTTTTCAATGGACGTAAAGTTGTAAACACAACATACTTCCAAGTTTTTTTCCCCTTTTTCCTTTTCATAATTCCATCCAGCCAGCCAGTGCATCTCCCTCATGCTTATCCTCCTCTGTTGTGTGCTGCCCTCTATCTCCCACCCCCCACCCCACCCCCTCCTTTCCCAACCATCTGAAGCAGGCTCAGCGCATGACTAGAGTACGACTTTGACTTACTATGAGCGTCAACATGAAGATACTCCAGGTGGCTGTCTTCCACAGAGAGCTGTTTGTCATACAAGGAGCCATTCAGAAAAATTAGATAAAAAAACTATTAATAATAATAAAAATCAAAAGTGTTTTTTTTTTATAAATAGAACTATAAAATTATAAATAGTGTTAATATTACTTAATAACATTGAAGAAAAGTAAAAAAACACCACTACAAATCAATCGCCATGAATATAGAGGCATGAGAGTGCACCCGATTGATATTCGGCAAACCGACATACAGACCACATTCGGCTGTATGTCCCAACTCATACTCTGCAGACAGACAGCCGGATGGACAGATGGACGAGCCGAGCAACCAACAGTCCGACCGACCGACAGTCCGACCGACCGACGGAACAACCGATCGACAGACCAACCGACCAAATCACCGACGGCCCAACCAACCGACCAACAGACTGACAGACGGACAGATGGAGTGACCGACTGACAGACAGTCACACAGACAGACAGACAGAGACAGACGGACAGTGAAAATTATGGGATGCACGCCATGATGGACCATCAAATGCATACATTCGCTAACAATGTGCGGGTGGAGACGGAGACCACCTACTCCTCCCAACTTATCCATGCACGGCGGCAGATCTAAAAAAAGGCACAGCAAAGAAAATTGAAAATTCAAGATTGTTTCGGGACATCCGTAAAAATTGGAACAATACTGAGAATATTAGCATGGTCCCTGTGCAAGGATGGCACGCATTAAATAAAAAATTGGAACAATACTGAGAAGCAACTTATAACGGGAGAAGGTAACAGTCCCATTTTCAAGCCAGGTTCAAACCAGGGTTAGGTTTTAGGGTTTCCGTAACTGTTACAAAGCATTGATTTTCCATAAGCCTTTAGGTAGAAAGAAGAATCTGGAAAAATGAGTTCAGAATCTGCAAAATTTATTTCCCCTTGAACAGTCAATCAATCAATCAATCAATCAATCATTCATCTTCTTTTGTTTAGAAAAAAAAACTCTTTCACACTGCCAACATCAGTTCAGAATCTGAAGTTCCCTTTTCCCATTCAGAGGAACCCTCCTCCTCCTCCTCCTCCTCCTCCTCCTCTTCTGCCTCTTCCTTCTCCTCCTCCTCCTCCTCCTCCTCATCATCATCATCATCATCATCATCATCATCATCATCATCATCAATCACCACCACCACTCCACTCTTACAACTTCAAAGTTCAAAGGCCAAACATGAATTCAGAAACATAAACGGTCCGGATACCTACTCGATGGACACCGGAGCCCCAAATAGAATGGCTGTGACACCAATGACCAATGCACCTGCACAAAGAAAGCACACCGGAGGAGGAGGAGGAGGAGGAGGAGGAGGAGGAGGAGGCAGAAGAGAAGGAGGAGAAGGAGGAGGAGTTCATGGTGGTGAGTGCACTGATGGCAACAACACAGACTTCCAGACCTAATCCTCTCTTGCATATCGCAATCAGTTGGATTTCAGAGAAATGATCAGTAATTGTAACTGAGGGAGGGGAGGGAGGTGAGGAGAACTACCCGGTAGTCATTTGCCGGTGTTGACAGTCATTTGCCGGTGGTGAACCCATCTCTGCTGGTGGTTCGCCATCACGCGTCCTGCTGCTGCTGCTGCTGATGATGATGATGATGATGATGATGATGATGACGATGACGATGATGACGATGATGATGATGATGATAATGATGACAATGACGATGACAATGACGATGACGATGAAGATAATAATGGTGATGATGAGCATGACCCACAAACGCATGCAATGCTCCAAGATCGTCAATATTGAATTTTCAATCAAACCCCATGATTGCAGAATTTGGGCATATGTGGCAGCATCAGCATCAGCAACTACAACAACAGGAAAGAAGAAAAAGAGGAAATGCATCAAGAAGAAGAAGAATAGCGCAGATGAGGAGGAGAATTGCCTGGAGGTACTAATGACGTGAAATGCTGGAGGAGGAGGAGGAGGAAGGAGGAGGAGGAAGAACAGAAGGAAGAGGAAGAATGTCTGGAGGTATTAATGGTCTGAGGAAAAGTGAGGACAGACGAAAACGACAGCTGTGACGGTCCTGGCCAATTCTGAAGTGAAAATACACAAGGAAAGACAATGCCGTTCAATAGCAAATGAAATGAAAGAACTTGGAAAGAGGGAGACACAAAGGAAGGAGAAAGAATGAGGAGGAAAGAAAGAAAGGAGGAGAAGAAGAAGAAGAAGAAGAAGAAGAAGAAGAAGAAGAAGAAGAAGAACACCAGCAAAAGACCAATGATAAGTCCCCCCCCTTCTCTCGCCACTCACTTTCCTTCTCCTTATCAAACCCAATCTTATTCATCAATAAATAATAATAATAACAATAACAACAATGAATGGCTGAACCAGAACTAATGTACGAATCTCCGTCTTACTGCCAGCACTGCATGAGGTCCACCATAGCCATGACCTTCTTCCTCTACACCCTCCGCTAGGTGATGGCTATGGCTGACTACTAGGCACCCTGGCCCGATGTTCACAAGACAACGCAAGAGCAGATATGTCCTCCGCACTTCACGCCGCCATGCCTGACTCTGCCCTGAAGCCTTCTCGATGCAGCGCAACCCCTACTGGGGCCTCCCAGGTGCAGCGCCTACCAAAGGGATGAAGATGGCGTCCACCATAGCCGGTAAGCACAACCCCTCCCACTCTCCTCCTCAACCCCTTCTTCCTCCTCCTCCTTCCTGGTCTCTCTTCTGCCATAGCGAAGGTGGAGGACCACAGGCGCTCCTCTCACAGCGCTCTACAGTAGCATTCTTCCACCAGGCGCTCCAGCAGCATGACGCCCAAACTTGCACACCGCAAATGAGGATGAGTTTGCGCGTGCAAGTTTGGGCGTCACGCTGCTGGAGCGCCGGGTGGGAGAATGCTACTGTAGAGCGCTGGGAGGAGCGCCTCGTATTCCACCTTGGCTATGGTGGAAGAGAGACCAGGAAGTCACCGCCCAAGATGAGTGAAGTGCTCTCCTCCACGATATAGTGGGCTACTGGACTCTTGGGGGGTGACTTCCAGGCCGCGTGGCCTCCCAAGCTACCGGTACCTCCTCCCTTTCGGAGAGAAACATCACCACAGAGCTTAGACTCAGACTTCAGGACTGGTACCCTAGACTCAGACTTCAGGACTGGTACCCTAGACTCAGACTTCAGGACTGGTACCCTAGACCTAGGCCTACCGGACTCTAAAATTCACTTTTTGTCTTCTTCTGCTCCGCCTACCGCCACTCAAGTATTACTCCTACCGGACTCTAAGGGCCTTGCTCCACTACACAACACTACATGCATTTGGAGTACGTTCTAGACCCGATACATTCTGACTGTTGAGCTCATCCGAATGCACCTGGTCCAGAAGGAGTCCACATGCATGTAGAGTGTTGTGTAGTGGAGCGAGGTCCTAAAATTCACACGGCCAGTACCTCCTCCCTTTCGGAGAGAAACATCACTGCAGGTCTGATATCGTCCGCCACAGGCCCTAGACTCAGACTTCAGGCCTGGTACCCTGGACTCAGACTTCAGGACTGGTACCCTAGACCTAGGCCTACCGGACTCTAAAATCCACTTTTTGTCTTCTTCTGCTCCGCCTACCGCACTCACGTATTACTCCCACTACACAACACTACATGCATTTGAAGTACGTTCTAGACCCGATACATTCTGACTGTTGAGCTCATCCGAATGCACCTGGTCCAGAAGTAGTCCACATGCATGTAGAGTGTTGTGTGGTGGAGCGAGGCCCTAAAATTCACATGGCCACCAAAGGTACTCACTTTTTGTCTTCTTCTGCTCAGCCTACCACCACTCAAGTTCTACTCTAAGCTACAAGGGCCTACACTACCGCTACTGGAGTGCTAGCCTACGGTATTTGAGTGTTTCCCCTCAGCATTCAGCAACCCTCAAAGTCACAGCACACAGGTAGGTAAGTACTGGCCCCGAGGGCCTCCCACCAAACAAACAAGTAGTACCCTGGCGGGCCACACACACACTCAGGCAGACTGGCACGCAGACTGGCACGCGGAAAGCAGCAAGCAAACACGCAGGCACACAGACTTAGAAATGTCAGCAGAAGATGGGAATCTCAGCCAGGCACGCATTCCAGCGGCAAAACTCAGAAATCAGCAGTGTTCTCAGTTTCTGTTTTCGCAGGTCATTGCACAGCAGAGAACAGGAAAAGGACAGTAGAAAAAAGGGGGGACCGGGTGGGGGAGGTGCTGTGTTGGGAAGAGAGGGGAGAAGAGAGGGAGGAAGAGAGGGAGGAAGAGAGGGAAGAAGAGAGGGAAGAGGAGAGGGAGGAAGAGAGGGAAGAAGAGAGGGAAGAGGAGAGGGAGGACGAGAGGGAAGAAGAGAGGGAAGAGGAGAGAGGGACTTGAAGGGAACGAGAGACGATATAAACTTAGTCTACTATAAAGCAGCTGGTCCCTG